CCTAATTCTGTTTTCACTGAAGTCAATGAGAATTTTACCTTTGACTTCAGTGGAAACAGGATTGGGCCATTATCTTGTCTCTCTCTCTTCAGGACACTTTGAACATCACTGTAAAGATACTGTTGCTCATTTTGAAAAGAAATAGCAATTCCCATTTATATTAGAGACAGCCTTTAAATGGAACCATAGAACAAAGGCTCCAGGAGCTTGGGATACGAACATTTATTTAGGGCATTTTGTCCCGAAAGACCCACAAGTACTTCACAAAACTGCAGACAAACAGCACTAGTGAAATGCTTCAGGCTGGGGAGTTATGGGCCAACGAGCGTACAGCATCCTACAGAGAGGAAGGACATTTCAGCTGTGAAAAGTGAGCTAAATCTCTACTCTTACAAAAAATGGCTGGGCAGAGGCCCTCACTGGGCAGATACAGCCTTGTTTGTTAAGGGATCATATTAGGAAGGCTCACATTCTTGTTCATCTGTCTTGAAGGACAAAGGATATGAATCTGCTGGGATCTGAACCTGCAGTTCCAAGAAAGCTAGACCAATAAGGCTAAGGAAAAGGGCAGTGATTTGTTATAGAAATGGTTATTTACTACTATGTCCATTGCATGTGATCATTCAGAACCATTCTTAGAATACCTGTCACTCCCTCATTATATCCATAGCTGTAAATGGTCTCAGTGGAAAATACCATTGTAAGGATACTTTGCAGTAGATCCAGCTTGATAAATAGCAAGGCTCCACTTGGGTAATTGTTAAGTGTCAATTATTCTTTTAAATGCATTTAATTTTGTATTTACTTTTATATGTGATTAAACAAGAGCAGGTCTTGGATACAGTGGAAGTGAAAATGTTAAGATGGATGTTTGGAGTTACAAGGATGGACCATGTTTAGAACAAACGAATTAGGGGAAGTGCAAAGGTGGTACCAATTATAGAAAAGCTGAGGGAATACAGGCTTAGCTGGTTTGGGCATATGAAAAGAAGATCAGATTTTGACACTGGAATTTTCCTTTTACATGTGTGTTGCTGAAATTCTGAATACTTTCTTCTGGGGGAAATACTGGCCCCAATTCTGTATGATTCTATTCCTGCATTTGGGATAGGAACAAGGTGGTGCGGGCCTTGGAAGTGCCTTTTAGATACCTCTGCATTCATATTTTGGAGCAACCAAGAGCCTACCCAGCCCCTGCTGTCAGTTAAAGCAGCCTCTGGACTGCTCTAAATTACACTCTGCTTTTCATGAACCTGGTAAGCAGAGAATAACTGTGAGCTCTGGACATACCACCAATGTGCCCTCCATGTAGTGAGTGGGAACTGGGCCACTGGATACATTTACTTTCTGCACATGTTTCAAGGCCTACGTTGGCTTCCAGGTACTAGTGGAAATGGACGTTGTTCTATCCATTGCTTGGAGAATTCAAGGGTGAAGATGTTTAGCTATTTAGCAGCCTGTAATGGAATAAGCAGTTTATTATTTGTTGTTTCAAATGGCGATACAAGACTATGACTTTGACTTGTGGGGAGTGTGTTGTAGGGGACACCTGTTAACAGAATAACATCTTTTATAAATACCAATACATTAAGTTATACTACCACCAAGCTCTTATCTAGCACTTTTCATCAGTGTAACTCAAAGCACTTTACAAAGGAGGTCAGTATCATTGTCCCCATTTTACGGAGGGGGAAACTGAGGCACGGCGACTGAACGTGACTTTACCCAAAGTCTCCCTGCAGACCAGTGGCAGAGCTGGGAATAGAACCCAGGGCTCCTGAGTCCTAATCCAGTGCTCTATCGACTAGGAAAAACTGCTCTGAAGAGAAATCAGAGTATAGCTCCTTGACACTCAGTGTCAAGGACCTAGGTGATCTTGGGCCCGTGTAGATCTCATTATTCGCTCCCTATGCTCCTCCGAGTTCTCTCCTCACTGCTCTTACCTGTCTAGTCATTTAAACCTCACTCACCAGCACAGTGTCGCCTCCTCCCTTTGTTAAATTTGAACCACCATTCTTTTCTATTTGCTAGAGACATTGGCTTTTTTGTCCATAAGGCACCCTTCTGCCCCTCCCTCCCCCCAAGGCCTGATTCTCCTAGGGAAAATTAGGACTAGCTCCACTCAAATCAGGGTCTGTTTTCATTGGAGCTGGAAAGTGATCAAGCTAGTGTGTTCAAAATAGAAGTGCAAGCACAGCAATGCAAGTGACAGAAGAAGTTAGTTGCCCCAAGTGCAAGCCCATTCCTGACTCTAGACACATACTTGGGTGGCTACCCCTGCTGCCACTCATGCCATCACAGCTACACTTCTATATTTAGGGCACTAGCCATTAAATCCCTTCTTAAAACCTCTTATTCCAGGAATCCATCCACTACCTGATTCTCCTCTCCAGTAATTCACCACCACCAATCCTTGCCCGAACTGTTGTCCCTTGTCTTGTGTTGGCTTGGCCTCTTCATATTAGCATGTCTCCAGTGGTGGCAAATCACCTTTCTCTGGGTTTGTGAAGTGCTGGGTAAATTTATACCATTCTGTGTTGTTATTAATAATCAGCTTATGTGCAGTAAAATGTCACATTATGTTTTATTGAAAACAATTAAAACTACTACAGACTGTAGGATGAAATATCTTTTAAAAAAGTAAGTGTCTTGTGGTATAAGTATAAAATGGAAGATCAGTTATCTCTGGCAATGGACGTTCTAACTCGGATCTATAACTCTGAATGTCAAGCCACACAGTACGGTTTCCTTTGCACAGGACACAGGAAAATAAGAATATGTTTTCAGGATAGCCTGGCACGGTATGACAATATGTGGCACATGAAAATAATGTTAGGAACATGTGTCATTCTCCACATCAGGACGCGTTCTCCCAGCACACACGCAGTTGCTGCTGGAGAACAACAGCCTCAATAGCTCTTGCTCATTTGATTCCATCTTGGCAGTATTAGGGCCTGATCCTGAAAACCCACAGGTCCCATTCATTTGAATGGCCACTGAGGGTGCTCAGCACTGCTCAGAATCAGGCATTTAATCCTATAAAGAAAGAACTCCTACTCAAACAACGCAAAGGCATCTAATACATGAGCTGACCCAGCTTATTTTGTGTCACTAAAATACACAGATAGGATTCGGAGACCACAGGAGCAGAGTAGATATGCTGAGTGAGAGGATGCTGTGCTATCACACAGTTATTTTTCAGAGAAGACCCACACTTCAAAGTCTAAGCAGGAGCCTTTGGCAGATTTATTCAAGAGAAAGTAGATGGAATGAAAGTGGGAGTTAGCCTGGCCCAACCCAAAATGCCAACAAACCACAGCGCCCCCCTGGCTAATTAGGCTAGGCTGTTCACAAAGGGGAAATTAACCCTTTTGGACCTGCATGGGTAATCAAGGTCACACACTGAAGCACAGGGTGTATTTACCCTCCTTATTTTAGCTGGCATAGACGCAAATGTTGTTAATGAGCATAAAATTTTCCAGCCCTTTCTAACAGGCAAGCTGCAGTGGGCGTCTCAATGCCCTTGTGCAGTAGCAGCAGGAGTGTTATATGCACGGCCCTGGTACTCAGCAGTAAGCAGGACCTTAATTCTGCTGCAGGATTCTTGGGTCCTCAGGCGCTCTGGTATAATGCATACTCTGTGCAAAGCTTAAAACAGGTTGCCTGAGTTCACAAGTCTCAGGTGGGCCGGTCACTAGCTAGGGATGGTGATGTGGCTAAATCTGAAATGAATGGGGCACCGCACTGGTCATCCCCTCCCTAGTCCCCTCCTCCTCAGAGCAGCCGAGATCATGACAAATGTAAACCTAGCCAAGCCCTAATCCTCTGTTATGAAACATTCCATCAGCCAGGACAGAGCAGACACTTTCACGAGGGCACAGTGTACAGTAGCGTCTCCTTGTCATGACTCCAAATTTACCCTCTTTTGGCAGTGAGGGTCCATGTGTTCCTCATATTCTGGACAAGAGTAAAATGGGCTGATCAGATTTTTGCCATGCTCTTCGTAATTTTTGACGCCCTCAGTCAAGCCCCCTCTAACTCTCCTCCTTTCTGGCCCAGGTAATCGTTCTCGAGTAGGAAAACTTTAAATAAATCCAATCTTGATAACAAACATTCGTTTCTTTTAAATGAATGGTTTCATGTGTCCTTTGGTGAGCACTGCTTACTGAATTTTTAGCTTTTACCATTCTGGTAGCTCTCTCAGCTCCAATGGTTCCTGTTTGTCTCCTGCCATTTAAAATTCAATTGGGATTTTCACCCTGTTGATAATTGCACTGAGGTCTAACAAAGATCATGCATATTGTTTCTAACTTTATTCCATGGAGCACTAGAGGGCAGGGGGTGTATGCTTCGTGGGGAGAAAACAGAGTTCAAACGATTGATTTTAAATAGTTTTCTTCAAAAATGTGAAAAGTAGCATTATGGGGGTGTATCAGGGTGTGATTTGGTCTCATTTAAATGCATACGAATGATCACATTCACATTTTTCAAGTCTGGATGATGGCAGAGGGAGAAATGAGAGGGCACCTAGAAGGAGAAAGACATTGCAAGCCTGCTCACACGTTGTGACCATGCCACCACCTAAGGTAAATGTACACTTATGGCAGCGTGTAGGGTACAGGCGCTGCACGCCCAGCTAGCACAGGTATAAATAGCAGAGTAGATGGTGAGGCACTACTTTAGGTCATAGAATATCAGGGTTGGAAGGGACTTCAGGAGATCATCTAGTCCAACCCCCTGCTCAAAGCAGGACCAATCCCCACTTAAATCATCCAACAGATTTTTGCCCCATATCCCTAAATGGCCCCCTCAAGGATTGAACTCACAACCCTGGGTTTAGCAGGCCAATGCTCAAACCACTGAGCTATCCCTCCTCCCTATGAGTAGAGTGCCCTACACACCTGAACTCCATGTACCCTACACAACTCTCTACACACTCATGCAGTGTCTCCCCTGTCCACATTGCTATTTTTAGCAGTGTAGCATTCCACTGCCTCCCCACTGCCAAAGCCCTCTAATGCAACTACACAAGACAGAATGTGTCACAGGCTACTGATTAACATTTACAAACAGTAATAGGACTCACATGGCTTATTCCCATTCATTGCACAATTATGCTGTTGGGTGTTCTGTATTTAAAAGAATCAAAATTCACTGTGTAACTGCACATGATTATTTTTTGTGGTTTTGCCCTCTGTCCCATTAGCATTTTTGTACATAAAGTGACTCTATTGCAATAAAACCCCACTGAAGTCTTTTTTCATAACAGAACAGGTAGCCTAGGCATCTTGGTGTTTGTATAAACACAGAGTTAAAAGCATGCAGATTGCTTTCTCTCTGTTTCCAGAATAAAGCATTTATCTATCAGTTTTAAAGTCAGTCTGTCAGGCACATTTGTTTTAAGTCAAATAAAGAATTCCTCCTCCTCTTCATTTCCATTTCCATGGTTTGCTTTTGATATTCGCAAGTGAAAGTTTGAAGCTGTCTGTCCAGCTCCTTTATTTCTTTTGACAGCAGATAACGACAGATGGATTCTATCCTCAGAAGGCAAGTTGATTCTGGAGCCAGCAGCAGCTAATGAATAGTTTGGTGCTTGTGGTTGAGGAAGACTGTCCTGCAAGTCCCTTGAAAACCTGCTAAGTGGAGATGGATTGCATTCAGAATTTACTACCGTGAATCCTGTGTCAACATTGGTCTCTGCTTCTTGCCTTTGAAAATGGATTTCTTGGCTGGAGATGTTCAGTTTAGTTCCTGCACTTACATTGAAAGAGGTGGTATCAGACCGTGAAGTAGCTGCTGGACTGCTGGCCTGGGATGAAGAGCAGGAGTTACTCTGTGGGGTGCTGCTAACGCTCCCAGAAATAATTCTGTGTTCTGATTTGATTTTACACTTCATCATTCTGATCTTCCGGCTTTTCTGTTCTGGATTAACCCACTTTGTGGGAAAGGGGGCTAGCGTGGAATTCTGTAGGATCTTTTCTTCACCTGCATTATTGTGCTGATTAGAAAGTCCGTCATTTTTTTCATTGTGTTTTGAGTTGCCTTGAACCTGTTAAAGAAAGATTGATGAGAACACTATTAAATCATTGCTTGAACAGCAATGAAGTGACTATTGTGTCCTCAACTGCAGGTACCATGCTGAAATCATCTACAACTCAATGATTACGGGTTCCATTATTATCTTCTACAACTCGGATGTGGAAACCCATGCTAAAGAATTTATGAATGAGCTGATCCATTCATTTCAATGTACCATTACATTTATACATTTTCATTTTACTTTGTAACTAATCACAGATCACAAATTTCACTCTTTTGATAAAGAAAAACAAAAGAAAAACAAAGATTCAGTGGTACCATTAGAGCAGGCCTGCACAACTCGTAAAGCGGCGAGGGCCATATTACTCCAAAGAAAACAGCTGAGGGCCAAAACCCTCCAAGCGCTGACAACCCCCCCCCCCCCCCCGAAACACAACACACACACCCCAGCGCCGCCCACCCCATGGAAACAACCCCCCCAGCGCTGCCGAAACACACACACACACACACCCCGCGCCACCTGCCCTGCGGGGAAAAAACCCTCCTTCCGCAGCACCGCCCCACCGAAACAGCAGTATTGAGCCTCGGTAATACGTTATAGCGGGCCCCTAAGGTAGTATAATTAAAGTAAAAGAAAAATGTCTTTTTGCTAGAAGTAGAATAAGATCTTCCCCCCACTTTGTAATCAATTGCCCTGTTGAATGAATGAGGTGTGAATGAGGAAGGCGTGGAAGGCAGGCACCTCAGACAGCTGCAACCCTTGGAGAGGACAGGGCCAGCTCTAGGATTTTTGCCGCCCCAAGCAAAAAAATTTTTGGCCGCCTCCCTTTTCTTTTTCGTGCCCCTCTGCCCCCGGCCCCACCCCAACTCCACCCCTTCCCCAAATCCCCAACACCGCCTCCTCCCCCAGCATGCCGCATTTCTCCCCCCCCCCATTGCTTCCTGCAGGCCCCCCGTGACCTCTCGCCCTTGCTCACCTCCACTCCACCTGCTCCCCTGGGCGTGCGGCCGCTCCGCTTCTCCCCCCTCCCTCTCAGGCAAGGGAGGGCAGAGAAGCGGCGCGTTCAGGGGAGCAGGCGGAGCGGAGGTGAGCTGTTGGGGGGGGTGCAGGAAGTAACGGGGGGGTAGAGGAACCACTCCCCGCTCCAGCTCACCTCTGCCGCCTCCCCCGAGCGCCCCGCCGCTCGGCTTCTCCTCCCTCCCAGCCTTGCTGCACGAAATAGCGGTTTCGCATGTGGCAAGCCTGGGGGGAATGGGGGAGAAGCGGAGCGGCAGCGACGCGCTCAGGGGAGCAGGCAGAGGCGGAGTGGAGGCGAGCTGGGGTGGCGAGGGCACTTTTTCCCCATGCCCTGGAGTCGGCACCTATGATGGCCGGCACCAGAATGCCGCCCCTAGAAATGTGCCGCCCCAAGCACTTGCTTGTTTTGCTGGTGCCTGGAGCCGGCCCTGGGAGAGGGGATGGGAGCCAGACCAGATCAGTAGAACAGGTCAGCCACCGACTCACCTCCTCAGCCCCCCACCCCTCCGGCTCGCTGGCTCACCTGCCAACCCGCCACTCCCCCCCCCCCCCCCCCCCCCCCCCCCCCCCCCCACCGCTCGCCTACTTACCCCCCGCCACTGCCCGCCCACTTGCCTCCTCAGCCCCCCCTCCCCTGCCACCGGCTCACCTGCCCCCCCTCCACTGCCCGCCCACTCGCCTCCTCAGCCCTCCACCCGCCCGGCTCGCCTACTCATTTCCCACCACTGCTCGCCTACTCAGCCCCCCTCTCTCACCCGCCGCTTGCCTACTCACCCCCCCGCGGGCCGCACAGTGAGCCCATCTACTCAAGCCCCGCGGGCTGCACAGTGAGCCCACGCGGGCTGCATGCGGCCCCCGGGCCGCATGTTGTGCAGGCCTGCATTAGAGTCAAATTCTAATCTTATTTTAAGTCACACATGCACTGACTTTTATGGTCTCATACAAATGTTAAATTAGTTTGCTGATTTAGTTCTAAGAGACTCCAAAAATCCAGTCTGATCTGTGTTAAAATAACTAGCACTTTTCATATGAGTTTTAAGATTAAAATCTCTTGGAAAAAGTAATACTTCAGAACACAAAGTGTCCAGTAAGTTCTTGGAGTGTGTTGGGGACAACTTCTTGTTTCAGAAGGTGGAAGTAGTAACCATGGGGGCAGCCACTTTAGGCTTGGTTCTTACTAACAGGGACTAATTGGTTGTGAATCTGAAGGTTGAAGGCAACTTGGATGAAAGTGATCATGAAATGATAGATTTCATGATTCTAAGGAAAGGAAGGAGTGAAAGCAGCAGAATAAGGACAATGGACTTTAAAAAAATAACCAGACTTTAACAATCTTAGAGAATTGATAGGTAGGGTCCCAGGGGAAGAACAGAAGGGGAAAAAATTGTTCGGGAGAAGTGACAGTTTCTCAAAGAGACAGTATTAAAGGCACAACAGCAAACTATACTGACAAAGAAAAAATAGCAAGAATAGTAAGAGGCCAATTTGGCTCCATTAGGAGCTCATTAATGACTTGAAAATCAAAAGAGAATCCTACCAAAAGTGAAAACATGGCCAAATCGCTAAGGATGAGTTCAAAAGACTAGCACAAGCATGTAGGGACAAATCAGAAAGCTAAGGCACAAAAACAGTTACACCTAGCAAGGGACATGCAAGGAAATAAGAAGAGGTTCTATAAATACATTAGGAATAAGAGAAAGAAGAAAGAAAGGCTAGGTCAACTACTTAGCAGGGAAGGAGAGCTACTAATGGATGATATAATGAAGGCAGAAGTGTTTGATGTCTATTTTGCTTCAGTCTCCTCTAAAAACATAACTTGCAACCACATGCTTAACACAATTAATATTAACAAGAGGGAAGGAATACAAGCCAGAATATGGGAAGAACGAGCTAAAGAATATTTAGATAGGTTAGATATATTCTAGACAGGCCCTGATTAAATTCATTCTATGCTACTTAAGGAATTAGCTGAAGCAGTCTTGGACTCAACAGTGACTATCTTCAAGAGCTCATGGATGATGGGCGAGGTCCCAGAGGACTTTAGAAGGGCAAACATAGTACCTATCTTTAAAAGAGGGAACAAAGAGAACCTAGGGAATTACAAACCAGTCAGCCTACCTTCTATACATGGAAAGATGCTGGAACAAATTTTTAAACAATCAGTTTGTAAGCACCAACAGAATAATAGCATGATAAGTAATAGCCAACATGGATTTTTCAAGAACTAATCATGCCAAGCCAACCTAATTTCCCTCTTTGACAGGGTTACTGGACTATTGGAGCAAGGAAGAGCTGTAGATGTGATATAATAAGGCTTTTGACACAATCCCACATGATATTCTCATAAGCAAACTAAGGAAATGTGGTCTAGATTAAATTACTATAAGGTGTGTGCACAACTAGTTAAAAAAACATACTCAGAGTAGTTATCAGTGGTTTGCAATAGTATGAGAATACAAATGTGTGATAACAAATCCAGACTAACTTTTCTGTGAAGACCTTCATAAGCCCCCAAAATGATGCCTTAAATCTTGAAATCCCTTCTGATTAATGGCCAAAGCTCTCAAAACCTTGGGACCATCACCAAAAAATGGCAGAGGCTGTGGGAAAACAGCAAGGTCAAGAATCAAGATTTCATTACGGATCCTACAAACCAGCTACCTGGCTTTGCCAGGCCATGTAAGATAAGGATCACAGTAAAATGCCTCAGAAACTCACACAGGCATCACAATTTCCTACTACACAAATGGATAGCATGATATGCAAATGTGGAGAAGATGCCCAAACCATGGACTGAAAGGCAGTAAATATCATAATAGCTATGTAAATCCATGGTGCACCCACAGTTCTGGTCTTCCCTCCCTCCCCCCTCCATCTCAAAAAAGTTATAGCGGAACTGGAAAAGGTTCAGAGAAGGGCAACAGAGATGATAAAGGGTATGGAATGGCTTCCATGAGAGGAGAGACTAAACAGATTGGGGCTGCTCAGCTTAAAAAAAAAATTGACAAGTAAGGGGGGGGGGATAAGATACAGGTCTAAAAATCATGAATGATGTGGGGAAAGTTATTTACCTTTTCCCACAATGTAAAAAAATTAATAGGCAACAGATTTAATACAAAGAAGAGGAAGTAACTTTTTCACACAACACACAATTAACCTGTGAACCCATTGCTAGGGGACGTTGTGATGGCCATAAATATAACTGGGTTCAAAAAATAACTAGATAAGTTCATGGATGACAGGACCATCAATGGCTTCTAGCCAAGATGGTCAGGGATGCAACCCTACTCTTGGGGCAGTCCTAAACCACTGACTGCCAGAAGACAGGAGGAGAAAACAGGGGTAGATTTCTCAAACTGCCCTGTTCTGTACACTCCCCCTGAAGCTTTGGTACTAGCCATTGTTGGAGACAGGATACTGGGCTAGATGGACCATTGGTTTGACCCAGTATGGCATTTCTTATGTTCTTAAGATGAAATTCATTAAAGGCAGGTGCAAAGTACTACACTTAGAAAGGAAAAAATCAAATGCACAACTACATAACAGAGAATGATTGGCTAGACAGTTGTAGTGCAATACTACTGGGAGTTATAATGGATCACACATTGAATACAAACCAGCAGTGTGATGCTGGTGCAGAAAAGGCCACTATCATTTTGGGGTGTATTATAATAGAAGAGTCATATGGGAGATACGGGAGGTAATTGTCCATTCCGCATGGGACTAGTGAGGCCTCAGCTGGAGTACGTGTCCAGTTCTGGGAACCACACTTCAGGAAAGATGTGGACAAACTGGAGAGAACCCAGGGGAGAGCAACTAAAAAGATAAAAGGTTTAGAAAGCCTGATCTATGTGGAAAGGTTAAAAATACTGGGCACGTTTACTGTTGAGAAAAGAAGGCTGTGGGGGACTTGATAACAGTCTTCAAATATGTCAATGTGTTTTATAAAGAGGATGGTGATCAATTGTTCTCCATGTCCACTGAAGGTAGGACAAGAAGTAGCTGACAATCTTTAGCAAGGGAGATTTAGATTAGATATTAGGGAAAACTATTTTTATCATTAGAAAGTTAAGTACTGGACTAGGTAACCAAGGAAGGTTGTGGAATCCCTATAATTGTCTAACCTTGTCTTAAAAACCTCCAAGCACCTGTCAGGGATGGTCTAGGTATGCTTGGTCCTGCTTCAGCATGGGGAGGATGGACCAGATGACCTCTTGAGGTCCCTTCCAGCCCTAAATTTCTATGATTATATCAACAAAGTATGAGCATTAGGAATCACCTATAAACCCTTTGGGAAAGGGCATAGAACGGAATAGTAAAGTAACTAAAGATAACTCAAGGAAGACAACTAAGAACACTGAGGATGGGTGAGCATGTGAAATATCAGGACTCTTATCAATTACATTATCTATCCCATAATAAATAACCCAAATATAAGCATAATAATGGACTCCAATTTGCATCATTTATTTGCTGGAAGAAAAAAACCCCAGAGGGATCGGAAGGAGAATGGTAATTCGTTATGGGGGAGAGCCTGCCAACCCTAACTCTTGGAAGTAGTTCTTAGTAAGAAATAAAGTCCATAGAAGTAATACAGCTACTCACTCAAGTAAGCACAAGTCATGTGAGTTAGGGTTTGCAGGTTCAGGCCTTAAGTCACCAAATGTATTTTGATAACCAAGCATCTTTATCTGAATAGGGTTGCCCCCTCTTACATTACATTACATTATCCGTGTCTCAGTCTGATGCCAGAGTTGCCCCTCTGCCAAGTGGTAGCAGATGTCTGAGGCATTGCAAGTTGGCTTCCCAGTGGTGAAGAAATCAGTGACAGAGTGGGGTGTATTCTAGTGTAACTTGTTTTATTTACACACATATGCCAGTCCTGGAACAGAGACAATCACAAACAGCATGCAGGGCAATCCCTTCTTTCAGGCATCTCAACTCAACACTAATGCCCAGAGAGCAATTCTGCCTCAAGAACTGACTCTAACCAGAGACCAAGGCAGTGAGCAAACTTTCCTGCTGCTCTCACAGCTCCCTCTCCTTAGGCTGCCTATACACAGAATCTAGTGTAACTAAGTCACTAACAACACATAGCAATGTCCTTCTAAGACTGAACATTTGCTCAAACACTTAGGGCCTGTCTACACAGCAACTTAATGTGTGGCAACCCAGGGTGTGAATGTACTGTACATTAGCCTGACATATACTAAGTTGCCATGTGGATCATGCTACCATGTTCTAAACATTCTGTAGTGTGCTTCCTCATACTGCTGTTAGTGTCAAAACGCACTACAGACCTTTTAGTGCGTGGTAGCAGGGTCCACTTAGTGCAAGGCAAGCTAGTGCAGCACTTTACATTCACACCTTGCTGCAACTGTGTCACCATGTAGACAAGTCATAACACAAAAGAACTTGGAAGATTATGTGCAACAGCGCCACCTGTTGACACCTGCCGTAACGGGAAAAATGCTCACCTATGATTCTCCGAAGAATAGACAGACTGACTAATAAGTGTGATAAGCCAAGGACATTTTATACTTGTAATTGATCAACCGCCATCCAAGATATGTTCTGCAATGGGGAAGACAGACTGAAAAGAAGGAAGGTGATCCCTTAACAGAGACAAACTATTAAATAATATTAAATTGGTTTCCAAAAAATCATTCAACATGGAGATGCCCTAACTAATGCTAACTGGTCATTAGCAAGGGATCACATGGAACCTTTGTGTCTTCGGTACGATTTGTTCCTTTTCTTAATTGACAAACCAGGGACACTGTAGTTTCTTCAGCATGAAGGATGCAATCCTGGGAGGTGCTGAGAGCCCTCGACTGCCATTACCTCTAGTGGGATAGGAGAGTCCCTGGATCACAGGATCAGGCTCTTCATGCCAAACTATCAGCATATCAGTGTGCTGCTTGAAAACAAAACACAAACCCCAAGTTCAGACTGCTCCTAGTTCCCTTGACAGGAGGAGGATGAGTCACAGCTAAAAAACAAATCCTAATCCTCTCCTGCCAGGGAATTCAAATGCATCTGTCAAAGTGAAGCCCTTGCCTACATCAGGTGGGTAGCCACCTCATTTGCAGAGAGACAGGATGAAAAGTACAAACACACAAAAGCAAAAGCTGCATTGAGGATTAACAGTGAGAGATCAGTGAAAAAATTAGCCATGCAGATGGATTAGCAGGAATTGTACCAAATAATCTCTAGAAGGAATAGAAAGGGAAAAAATAAAAACGAAGGCAAAATCACTCTGCCAAAGAATCAGAGAAAAATTAAAAACTACACAGGATTGCTACAAATTATTGAAATAATCCAAACTATACTGTACGCAGAAGTACGAGAAAATGAATGAAAATACTAGGACATAAAAATGTTTAAATGGAAAATGCTGAGTAATTTCGATCCAAAGGAATAATTATTCAGCGATACACTTAGTTGAAATGTTTTCATTGAAATTTTGAATTTTCCAAAAAAAAATCTATTAAATTTATAAATTAGTTGGAAAATAAAAAATGTTGTGCAAATTTTTCAACCCCAAAATGGACATTTGTAAATGTTTCAGGTAGATTGATTCAAAAGCATGTTACAAATACTGGGCCTGCTCTCATAGCTCTTACTCCTGTCCACGATTTGACGGTTAACGCTTAGTGATGATTACTGTATTACAGCAATGCCAAGAGCCTACAGATCAAGGCCCCGTTGTGTTAGGTGCTATACATCCATATAGTAAATGACAGTTCCAGCCTCAAATAGCTTATGGTCTAAAAGCTATTCGGCCTGATTCTTTCCCTCACACTGGTGCTAATCAGGAGTTAGTTCATTAAAGTCAAGGGAGTTAAACTGGTTTAAAGTGAGTGGAGAATCAGAGCCACTGAATTCATTCTTTTCATTTCTAGCTCTGGGTGACTCATTTACTGCCCAATAATACCAAGTGCTGGGTGCTTCCTGCTAGGTGTATAATGCTTATCTCCAGCTTGTGACAAGGCCCTCAGACACATCAAGCTTTTAATCTTTCTGCCTCCATTTCCCCATCCGTACAATGGGGATGCTACCTGCGACAGATATGCACAATATCTGATATGCATGATAGCCTGCCATAGCCTTGAAGAAACCTTACTGAATTAAGGGTCCTTAGGGTCCATTGTACTAAATGCAAAGTTTGTGTTATTGTGGGCTGGGATCGTATGTAACCTCTAGGGAGGAGATGTAATGTAAGGCCTGAACGATCACAGAACTATATTGAACAATGTGCCAAACAAGAATGGACTTTTGGGACAATATGGTTGAAGTGGATTTCCTGGGAAATATCGAGGGGGAGATGAATGGAAATTCCCAACTTCCAGACCAGTAGAGTGCACGTAAGTAGGCAGACAGGTCAAATCAAATGTAAAGCAGTGCAGTGTGGGCAGGGCTGGCTCCAGCTTCTTTGCCGGCCCAAGCGGCAGAAAAAAAAAAAAAAGATAAAGCCGCGATCAGTGGCACTTCGGCGGCAACTCTACCGCACCGCTTCATTCTTTGGCGGTAGTTCGGCAGCCGGTCCTTCCCTCTGAGAGGGACTGAGGGACCCGCTGCCGAATTGCCACCGAAGACCTGGATATACCGCCCCTTTCCATTGACCACCCCAAGCACCTGCTTCCTGTGCAAGATTATTCTAAAAAGAATTGTGCCATGTGAACACAAGTCAGTTTAAGCCAAAAAACAAAGTTAACATGAAAAATCCCACCCATGGAAACAAGCCTTTATTCATATGATTTATTCACTCCAGCCTAGGCAGTACAGTACAGCCTAGGCAGCTCAGTTTAACTATTAAACTTTCACAAAAATTGACAGATACCATACACCCAAACATACCCTTCCTTGGGTGGCACCCAACAGCACAGCTAGAAACTAGCTTCTGAAAGCATTTCCACTCTAAACCCTTATCATAAAGAAATAATTCAGGCACTTACAGTAATTTCATCTGAGGGTGAAACTCTGTCTACAGACCAGCCTGCAAAATACCGTACTTGCATTTCAGGTTATAATTTATCAAGTCTAACTGCACAATGTCATATCAGCCCAGGGGGAGATATTACAAAAATATCTGGCAATCTTTTAATGTTACTTTGGGTGGTTTTATTAATGGAGAAATCACCCAGAGTATGGGATAGACAGCTATAAATATTTTATAAATTCAAAGGAAGAAATAAATAATAATAAATAACTATCTTCCAATCAGACCCTATGTTCTTCCTAGCTGGCAAGTCACCTACTGAATTAAAGACAGCACACATAAAAAACCCAATACCTGAAGCAAGATTTTGTTTCCTTCGTAGTCCTGAGTTTGCCATCGGGTGCTACTGATAGGAATACATGGATTAGGCAGAAGAGGTACCAGCTGCCCAATTTCGTGGACCTTGAATTGCAACACGGAAGATTCTTTCAGTTCAACAGAGACCCCAGGGGGCAGCTGCTTCAAGCAGAGCTGAACAGCAACGGTTTGTGTTGCATACAGCACAAAGACACAGAAGTTACTCTTCTGCATAGTTGCTTCTTTCTGTAGGATCATCTCGTAAAGTCTGACTGCATCATCATAGTTATCAAAGCTACAGTAGAGAGTCACGCGCAGAATTTCAGTGCCATAATGAACTTGCCGTACACCCCATACAGGCATATGCTCATCCAGATCATAAAATTCCTGGCCAGCAGGTGCATAAGGGTACTGTTTCCCATTAGCATGTTGCATGTGGTGATCCTGCCATGGAGGGTGCTGGAAAATATCATGGACCCGAAAAATCCGTTCTTCCCCAAAGTCCTCATGCAGGAAAAGGAGAATGGACATCCCAGGAAATCCAGAGCTTTTCCGGTGATATTTCTCATAATACTTCACTGGAGTAACACGTTCGGATACAAGGAAGAGGCGAACATCCAGACAGATCCACCCCAGAAGCCGATCAAGAGTTTGCTGCAAGAGTAATGAATGTCCAGAGGTGGCAAGAAGATGCACAGTCATCACCAACGAGTCTGCTCTTCCATCCATTGTAAAATCACCTTGAGAATAAAAATAAAGACAGATGAGTGCTTCTGTATACACTGAATAATCATAAACAATTATACTTTGGATTTCTCTTTTGCTTCCCATCTGAAGATCTCAGCATGCTTTATATGCCTCACACATCCCTGTGAAGTAAAGACTTGTAGCTGTATCTATATTTTACAGATAAAAGATGAAGCACAGAGAGGTTAAGTGATTTGCCCAAGGTCATACAGAGGAACAGTGACAGAGCTGGGAATAAATCTCTCATTCCCTGACTCCCAGTCCTTTAACCACCAACTAATACAAATAGAAACCATCTGACATTCCCCCTCAAAAACAAAAAACCCAAGCCCTAACATTTTTGTCCTTCATAGTGAAATACAGTGGGGATTAAGAACACGGAAATACTAGCGCAGTTATTCTCAAATGCATAGAGTACTTAAAAAATATACTTACCAGTTGACCATGGAAATGCAAACTCTGAGATCTAGCAGAACCCTGGCAACGGACAACAAGAGACACAGTTACTGCCTCATTGCAAATGCAATGCGGCACTTGTGTTTTAAAGCCTCAGCATGCTTTGTTTTTTTAGTCAACGTGCCAATGTTTTTGTTAGATCTAAAAGCTTGTGATCTTTATGAGTAACACCCTTCCAGGGTGTGCAGATAAACTATTCTTTAAAACAAGAAAGGGAAACAGGCTAACAAAAGAAAAACAAATGTGAACTGCACAGATAACAATTAGTGCAGATGTGAATCAATCTAAGGAAAGATAAGAGTTTAGGGAGATGCCTTAAATCCTAATTTTCCCATTGTGTCATTTTACACAGCATAGAGAGCAGGCTGCCCTTCAGTTCTAATAGAAATATTACAGTGCCCTGTTTATTACATTTATTCCAAAGTAATCCCAGTACCAGGTTTCCCCCACTCCTTTTTGGTGCATTACTATTGCTATGCTGTATTTGGATAGGCTGGTACATTTTTGTTATTCGTGCATGTAAGCAGATCATAACCATTGTTTTGCCTTTACAGATTAATATAGTTTCTACTCAACTACAAAAAGAATGCTGAAAACCTTACTCTTTCCAGCTTTTCTCTAGGAGCCCTAAACAATACTGTTCCTGAGTTGTTCATCATGTTGCCAATTCAGAAGCAATTTACACAGAGCAAGTTAACCTCGATTCTTCAGATTGAACTTTCTTTACTTCTGCATGTCTTTAGGTCAAGGGTTATAATTTCTGGTGATGCACTTGACTACATATGTTTAGGAACCACAGCTCTCTTTGCATTTCCTCTTTCCAAATAAGTAGGGTGCACAAAATGACAGCTATTGTTGTTCAACGACGGTGTTTCCAAACCTGGGCATTAATAAAACCTTCTGTTTTTGAAGAGATTGTGTTATCCAAACTTTGATCCAGCAGTGCAGACAGCAGCCTTGTTCATTAAAGTTTGTATTTTAGTCCAAATGTTATGGACTGAACCATAATGGACTGAACCAAAACACCAGGTCTGAACAACCTCAAAGTTTGGAAGGTTCCATATCTGAACGTTGTGGCCTTACGTGTCTCACTATAAAAGACCACTTTTGTATTGACTTTAAAATATATATTTTATAAACACACACAGAGAGAGAGAGAGAGAATCAGTCTTATTTTAATTAATCTAAGTTTTGACCATGGTGATAATCCCAATATAAAATACAGAATTGTAGATTAGGTATAGATAAAATCTGGGGAAGGTTTATACAAAAATCTGTTTGTTTTACAGCCCTGGCTACTTGACAGTAATTGCAGTGAAATGCTGGGAGGGGTGGGGGAGAACTACCCTGGCGACAATTACAGGAATTAGATGAAGAGAACAGAAACCAATTATAGCACTTCAAGCAATGTAAGTGTTTAAGGCTTCAGATAAAACACTGTAAATGAATTCTGAATAACATTTTTTCTAAGGCACCTTTGTCAGCCCAAAGGGAAGGGAATATTTGATTAACTGTATGTGGAACCTCATATACCAGCGAATGGGGAAGCAAAGTCAGCTGGCTTCGTCTGTGTTTGAGATGAATGGGGTGTTTGCCTGAGTGAGGAGGACTGAGTAGCACTAAGAAGGAACTTCAGGGTTAGGCTTTCAGTAAGTAATATTAGTGCAAATGATACCCATGCTCTTAGGCAGGATGCAGCTGAGCCAAGCAGCTTGGAGGGGGTATCCTAGGCTATCGGGTCACTACTGTGCTCATATGTAAAAGAAAACCATTATTGTGGTTGTTTTATGATCAAACCTACTATATAGATGATGATGAAGGATGAAGATGATGATACAAGCCAGGAGACAAATAAAGAAACCGCACTGTAGCTGATCAGAGCATAAAATATATTCAGGGCCTTGTGTTTATTGACCCTTTTACCAACACAAACACCTGAATCATCAGCCACTACTTTGGATACCTCCCTGACTAAGCAGTCGTTCCATTCCACTGTCCCGTTTGAGAGTTTCCACCCCATCCCATCCCCACTCTGTGTGTGTTCCTATCCCCCTCCATTCCCATTGTGTCTCTCTCTCTTCACTCCCATTGTGTGTGTTTGTCTGTGTGTGCATCTTTCTCCCTCCTTAGTCCCCACTTGCTCTCCCCTGGATCACCAGTGTGCTGTTACTTCTAAATATGCTGTTTTCCCCAGGGTGCTAGCAAGAGCACCAAAGGGAAAGTGGCATGATCATGTTCAGTTTCAACATACTGAGTACATGAGTAGCACTGAAAAAGGAGCACAGAAGCATTCCTCTTGCTTAGGGTTGGAAAAAACCTGTTCCCCTCCTATGTCCCAGAAAGCCCCTAAATTGGGGGGGGGGAAAAAAAAGAAAGAAAAAAAAGAAAAGAAGAGATCAGTGCAGTAATAATCTGATTACAAGTAATTGCCGTCTCCTTCCCTTTCTCCAGTACAGCATGTACACTCAGGAGCGAAGGAGCTGATATACTAGTTTTTTGGCAAGTCTTTAGTTTTCATAGGTGTGAACAGAGAGCAGTGGTTTCATACGTGTGAACAGAGAACTAGTTTCCTCGTGGTGAGTCACATCAAGCTCACTGCAATACCTCTGCAAACACAAACAGCTTTTCCACCTCTGTTCAGATCACTATGACATCCTGGCGTGGCTGAGTAAAAATCCCATCGATGTAAAAATATATTCAGGGAGGAGATATTTTTTGTGTTGCATTCAATAATGTAAGAGTATTTTAAAGTGAAATTTTACAAGCTAGCATTTGTGGAGGGAGAGGGGCAGGGGAATTATTAAAATTAAAAAATATATAGGCATTAAGTCTTCATCAAACTTCCAGTGAAGTCAGTGAGAGTCTTTCCATTGACTTCAGTGGGGTCAGCATCAGCATGAGGATAATGCCGCGAGGCTGTTGAGCATGATGTGCTTTTATCTCTTACACAGACATGGATTCTGAAGTAGCTGGAATTTTAACCCATTCAAGTTTTACAAGGTTTTTCAGCAGACAAGTTTACTTTCTTATGCAGAGAAAAGACTTAGAGCTGAACATACCAAGGAAGATTTCTGTAAGAGATTAGAAAAGTAGCAGTTCAATCCCATGAGAACAGTAAATCCACTCAAGGAATATCATGTGAATAGACCATTCACACGCCAGAGGAACTGTCTGGGAAACACCGTACAATATACAACCAGGCCATTAATGTACTTTAGAAATGAATATGCAAGCTATATCAATTGCAAGCACGTTTGTGTAATTCTTTACCTTTGGGTTTTATTTTCACAACAAATGCTTCATTTCTTTTATATAAAAGAAAATCAATCCTAACAACAATTCAGTAGCAACCCTACAACAACAAACTAGTGTACAAATGCAATTGGAGCAAAGAAAAGAGAAATCCATTTTCCAACAGGGGGCAAAGGAAATCACAAAGAGAATCAGGAAACCTCAGTTCTATTCCCAGCTCTTCCACCAACTTCCTGTGTGACATAGAATCATAGAATATTGGGGTTGGAAGAGACCTTAGGAGGTCATCTAGTCCAATCCCCTGCTCAAATCAGGACCAACACCAACTAAATCATACCAGCCAGGGCTTTGTCAAGCTGGGCCTTAAAAACCTCTAAGGATGGAGATTCCACCACCTCCCTAGGTAACCTATTCCAGTGCGTCACCACCCTCCTAGTGAAATAGTGTTTCCTAATATCCAGCCTAGATCTCCCTCACTGCAACTTGAGACCATTGCTTCTTGTTCTGTCATCTACCACCATTGAGAACAGCCTAGCTCCATCCTCTTTGGAACCCCCTTCAGGTAGTTGAAGGCTGCTATCAAATCCCTCCTCACTCTTCTCTTCTGCAGACTAAATAACCCCAGTTCCCTCAGCCTCTCCTCGTAAGTCATGTGCCCCAGCCCCCTAATCATTTTTGTTGCCCTCCGCTGGACTCTGTCCACATCCCTTCTGTAGTGGGGGGACCAAAACTGGATGCAATACTCCAGGTGAGGCCTCACCAGCGCTGAATAGAGGGGAATAATCACTTCCCTCGATCTGCTGGCAATGCTCCTACTAATATGTCATTGGCCTTCTTGGCAACAAGGGCACACTGCTGACTCATATCCAGCTTCTCGTCCACTATAATCCCCAAGTCCTTTTCTGCAGAACTGCTGCTTAGCCAGTCGGTCCCCAGCCTGTAGTGGTGCATGTTTTTCTTCCTTCCTAAGTGCAGAACTCTGCATTTGTCCTTGCTGAACCTCATCAGATTTCTTTTGGCCCAATCCTCCAATTTGTCTAGGTCACTCTGGACCCTATCCCTACCCTCCAACGTATCTACCTTTTCCCCCATCTTAATGTCATCTGTGAACTTGCTGAAAGTGCATTTAATCCCATCACATAGATCATTAATAAAGATGTTGAACAAAACCGGCCCCAGGACCGACCCTGGGGCACTCTGCTTGATACTGGCTGCTAACTAGACATCGAGCCATTAGACATCACTACCCATTGAGCCCAACAATCTAGCCAGCTTTCTATCCACCTTATAGTCCATTCATCCAATCCATACTTTTTTTTAACTTGCTGGCAAGAATACTCTGGGAGACCTTATCAAAAGCTTTGCTAAAGTCAAGATATATCACATCCACTGCTTTCCCCATATCCACAGAGCCAGTGACCTTGGAAAAGTTATTTAAGCTCTTGGAACCTTAGTTTCTACATCTGTACAACAGGGGATAATATCACTTACCCCCACTACAGGGTCATTGTGAGGTTTGCCACATTAATGCCTGTGATGTGCTTTGAGATCTTCAGATGAAAGGCAATTAACTGCAAAGTAATTAGCATTTCATTTTTACATGGAATGTATAGCACGAGCCCGACCCTGTATGGTGCTGAGAGCCCTCCACTCCCACTGAAGTCAATGAGGGGTTGAGGATGCTCATTGCCTTGGAGGATTAGGCCCTAAAAGCACAGTGCTTCTCTAAAGTGGCCTACAAGTGTTTGGTGCTTTTATATACTCACCCGAGAGGGGCTATACAATGTACTTAATACATCGGAGAGCAAATGAAGGGAAAAAAACATATGTGAATGAACAAGTTTGCAAAAACTCCAGCTCCACTTCTGATCTGGTGTTCATGGCTCCTATCATATTCTCCCAGCATTCGGTGGAGAAGAAAATCAGCTACTGATATCTCAAAGGATGCAGCAATACATGCCGGGTTATACCAATCCAAAATAAGGCGCTAATGTGGAAATCGGCAAGTGATTTTAATCAGGTAAAAAAAAGAGGGTTCTTCGGGTCTGAACACACTGTAGCTGGGACCCAGCCTCCCAGCCCAGCTCGGCAGACCTGCGCTAGCTATACTCGAACTAGCACACTAAAAATAGCAGTGCCACAGCTGCACGGGCTTGCCACCTGAACATGGAGCCCGTGGGCTGGCCAGACTTGTACTCAGGCAGCTAGCCCCTGCCACATTGCTATTGTTAGTGAACTAGTTAGAGTACAGCTAGTGCGTGTCTGTCTGCCTGGGCTGGGAGGCTCATACCAGGGGCGGCTCTATGTATTTTGCCACCCCAAGCACGGCAGTCAGGCGGCTTTCGGCGGCATGCCTGCGGGAGGTCTGCTGGTAACACAGATTCGGCGGCATGCCTGCGGGAAGTCCGCCGGTCCTGCGCCTTCGGCATACCCGCCGCCGAATTGCCGCCAAAACCGCGGGACCGGCGGACCTCCCGCAGGCACGCCACCGAAGGCTCCCTGACTGCCACGCTCACGGCGACGGGCAGCCTGCCCCTTGCGGCTTGCCACCCCAGGCATGCGCTTGGTGTGCTGGTGCCTGGGGGAGCTGCCCCTGGCTCATACCCAGCTGTAGCATATACGTACTCTTAAAGACCCTCTTAGCTACAGGATAGTCAATGAATTCTCAGCTCTAACAGAACTATGGCTCTGAACTTAAACACAATACCTTTCAGAACCCCCATGGGTACAGACAAAGCTACCACTGAAGTCAATAAAAGAGGTTAGCTTGAGTAAGAATTGCCTAAGCACTTCTGGACAGGGCCTTGTGTAATCAATACACTACAATGACGATTGCAAAACAGGTGATTTTACCAACATTTCTTGCATCCTTTTTACTGTAAAATTCATTCCAAACTGCCAGGTTTTCAGCACTTTCCAGTAAAGAAAGAAGAAACATGAAGAGCGTGCATCTACATGCTCATTGTCGACCTGGAATTCTGATTTTTGACACATCCCCACCCTTCTGGATCCTGGTTAACTTGATTTTTGGACCCACCAATTGGAAAAGGTCCAGGACCAAACACAAAGCATTTTCGTAACAGCCACTGACCAATCCATTTATTCATTGTGGTCAGGCTCAGATCTAAACATGCCTGAACTTAAAGGAGTTTGGCTGTGGATCCAAACTTTGCAGCTCAGGCTCATGTCTACTTTCCAGGAAAGTAAAACCACAATGACTGGAAGAAAAAAACAACAACCCCTCGTTGCTAGAATATTAAATGCATTAACACAGGCTTCTCTTTTGTAGTTTCCAGTTTCTTATCCATAATTGGCCAACACAGAAAAGGAAACTAACAATGATCGAAGAGGTCCAGAAAATGCAGACCTATGCTAGGATGCAAAAGGGTCTGATTTCATAAGACAATGAGATCATACCAGACAACAAGAGAATGAAGTGGAACCTCAGCATCCCCCTGATTATCTTACCTGAGGGAGCTAATGAGGAGGCTGCACCTTAGGCTGCTGGCTCCAAGTCACCTCTGCAAGCTTTCATCAGGAATGAAGATTCAAAAATTAGCAAAAGGCTGCCTTTGAAAACAAGCTTCGGACAAGCTCTCACAGACAGTCCCAGCAGCTTGAGACTCTTTCCTTAAGAAACAGTATTCAAAGAGATCGACAGACAAGATAGAGTTTCATGGCTCACAAGATCTATAGTCAGACAACGTTCTCTTGCTGGCTAAGATGATAGGCAGCTTTTTGCTAACTCTAAAATACAGCTTGGGGAATGTTCACTCCCTTGGCAGTGTGGCACTCAGAGAATTATGGGCCGATATGGACATTTCCTGTTCAATTCTCCTATTTAAATACTCTGTTGCTATTTATCTGAAGGCAAGAAAGCCACAGTGACAGAGCTGATGTGGGTTTCCTCAGGAGGAGATTGACAGGGACTGATTTCAGACAATATGAGCTACGGTGACTAGTACTCTCTAGCCCATTCACAATCTGTGATTGGAAACAATCTTTATTTTCCTTTTGTTTGCTCCAGCTCAGTAAATGAAGATCCAGGCAGTTTTGATACAATATAAAATGAGCCTAATGTATATATTTCAGAAGAAAATGAATCAGATTAACTATAGTCAAAATACAGGAGTGAATCCGAGTCTAGAGGGAGTTTAAATTGGCGGAAGGTACTACTTCGGGTCAGGTTTTCTGAAATTAAAGGAGTCTAATGCCTTTATCCTTTCATTGAACAGGATAGCACAGAATCCCATGTGGTCAGGGCGGTGGCAGGAAAAGACTTTCTTTTTTGTTTGTTTTAGTCTATCCTAGCACAACCCCTAAGTATTTTGGTGTCAGTGCAAGGCCAGGAGAAATCATTCTCAGACTAAAACCTGTTGGAAAGGGTAATAGAATGTGGTCCCGAGAGTTATTTGTGCACTGGGAGAACATGGAGCTTACCATACATTTCATGCTGTTGGAATAAATTTAATACACATTAATAACATTTAAAATTAAATTAAAGAGGCATCATTCACATCTTCTGCTTCTGGCTCCTTCAGATTTGAGCAGTGATCATCTGAGGGCTACATCCTGCTCTCCGTTAACATGTCACAGCTCCTGAGGTAACTGCAGCTCCGATCCCTTCATGAGCTCCTTGAGGGCACCCCATTCAGGCCTCAGGCCTCTAGCCATCACCTTTCTTGGGGTCCGATCCTGCATTCCTCTTCCTCCAGATCAGGGATTTAAAGCTGCTATTTCCTTCTGCAACTCACTGCGATCACCTTAGCAAGTCTGACTTCAGTTTAGTATCGGCCATCATGTTCGCTTCCCTGGACGACGACAAGGTTAGCCAGTGACCAGCCAGCCTTCATAAAGCAAAAATATTTATTCAAAACATCAGCATTATTGAAAAAACACATCTTGAAAACAATGAACAGCTTACGTGCATCCTGTTTTACCAGGTGTCACCCACTTTCCACATGGAGTTCCTCGTGAGTTTCAAAGTCCTTCAAACCCCTTCAGCAGGATCTCAACCCTCTTGGCCATGCTGTCATTTAAGTTCTTGGATCAGGTGAGAATGACCCCTTACCAGGTTTATCACTTTATACAATTCTCAGTTCTTTGTTTGCTGGGCCTCTTGAACCTGGGCAAACCCAAGATATGGGATTTCCCCTGGGTGTGGTACTTCTGGGGACACGTTTCCATGTTTAAGGATTTGCATTAATTACCGTCACCCAGTGATTTTAATTCTTGATGGTTCATTCATGGATAGGTTTCAGTGGTAGCCGTGTTAGTCTGTATCGGCAAAAAAACCGAGGACTCCTTGTGATTTCCTCCCAGAGACCGCATGGCTTGTCTTATTTCAAGAAAGAAAAAAAACCCTTCACACCCAGCAGGTAACCATGCAAGAGGAGAGGAGAAACTGAGTCATAAAAAAGTTTCCCAGTTCTGCACAAAGTTGGGCATCTCTCTGGAAGTCAATGGGAGCTGCACATACTGATTCTGGTCTCTCAGACTATAAAACCTGCATAATAGTCAGAGCATTTCCTCTCCCATCCAATCACACTGGATAACACCAAAATGGACAAAGACCACCAGCAGCAAAGGCAATTTAAGACGCAGAAAGGTGACTGGAATGAGACTATGCGTTGACGTAAAAACTCTATGAGAAAAGTTTCCATTGACTTCAGGGGGACCAATATTTCCACCTGTATGGCCTGGATAGGTTCTGTATGGACGATCAGTACAAGAAAAGGAGAACCCACTTTTCAGATTGAGGGAGATTGGTGGATTCAGATTTCACAATGCTCTTTTGGGGCCTGATCCAAAGCCCACTGTAGTCAGTGAGAGTCCTTCTGTTGACATCATTGTATCAGGCCCATCAAGAATGAACTCTAATTCTATATAAATAAAGGAGTGAGTCATTGAAGATAGGTATGAAAGATGTTGGCCTCAAACCTACACTCTGGAGGACTGGATTTGTGAGCTTCAGCAACTTTGTTAAACCAGGCTGCTGTGCCCTCCCACCCCTGCCAGTTCCTATTTTTATTAAATGCATGAGAGACAGTAGCTTGATTGAAGAGGGGTAAAGGAACAAAGAACACGGTGAATAAATCAGTCTCCCCACTACTAGACATTTTCAGACAGCCCTGGCAGGGACGTGTGTGGTTTTACAGATGACAGCCATAAACTTGCCTCTCTCAGATTACACAGCTGAAGTCAACCACAACTATATCCAAGTAAAAATTTCATGAAAGGATCAAGTGAAGAAGGAAATCTCTGCAGTCCTTCAAATGAACTACTTTCTTGATGTGCGCTTTCCAATCAATCCAGAGACAAGAATGATGGAGAGCCATCAAGGGAACTGCTGTAACCAAAGATGCACAGAGCACTCTGCAGAAAATCCTGCACTCTCAAGCGCCAGCAAGTTAAGATTTCCTGACTGAATGCTAAAAGTCATGTGCCCCAGCTTCCGGCCGCTCAAAATCCTAACTCTCAGCTCTGAGCAGTCACACTGTATGCCTTTTTAAAGCTGTGAAATATGGTTTGCCCATTTCAACCTCTTATGAGTAACATAAAACTGGGGTAACTATACTATGTGCTAGCCTGATTATAGCTGTAAGTAGGCAAATGGTTAGAAGACTGATCAAGGCAGTT